ATTATCATGAATTATTTTTAATAATATAAAATATTGGACCAAAATATTAATTTGTATTTGCAACAACAGTTAAATAGCTTTGTAAGACCACTTTATGCAATTCGCTTTGTATATGAATTTCTAATCAGAATAGTTAAATCCAGTGAATTAGACAGACTTAAATAGAAAAAAAAGAAGTACTTTAGAATCCCTGGTGTTAACTTAATTCATTTCACAAGCATATAAACTAAATTTAAGAAAATCAAATATACGTTCATATTCGATAATCATATATATTACTATTGTTGCCAGATAAATTTGTGTATTTATAATTGAACTCTTGATAAGTGTAAACTTTTCACTTGACAGATTGTCAGTCAGAAAGTTAACTTTATTCTTATCTCGTTTGAATTCGACATTGTTGCTTCTTTATGATTCATTGTTTCTTGGGTTTATTTCAAATACTTAGTTTCCTAACTCGTCCGATTGTTAACAAAACATTGGTTTAAGAATGTCTATGACAAAAATTAACTTGAGATGAAAGATCTGCACAGTTGGATTTATTTGATTCATCCCAATATCATATACAAATTTCAACAGTTAAGTATTGATAACAATTACTCTACGACTTAAAATACTTCTAAAGTATTAAAACAAACGTGATAGGTTGATAATTTCATGATGAGTAGATTGATGTTATCAACATTTAAGTGACCTTGAACTGCATTTTATCTGCATCATCTGTTTTTATTGATGAATTCACAGAATTCAGTGTTCATTTTCAGCTTTGTGTGATGATTTTAATTGATATGATTGTAACTTTCATTCGTCCATGAGTCAACAAAATGCAGTCAATTTTCCCGCACATTTGAACGTGCATTTAGACTTAGTTTTCATCAAACGATGTAGGAGTATACGTGGACGTTCTCCATTACACAGTTCCGATTATTTCATTATTCTCGTTCTATCTAAGGTGTACGACAAGTTTGTAATGAGTACAGTGTTACATTAAACAAAGAAACTTTAGTGTGAGAATCATTCTGATTAAAATATCAAAGATCTGATAAACCTGTTCTGCACGATAAAACTAGGATTAATTTACAAGTGTGCTGAATTTCAATGTCTCCATTCACAAAGATCATTGATGAATCTTTCTTAATTAATTTCATGTCTAAAATATGGGAAAAATGAAGACAATCCCAATATCAAAGGAAGTATTTAATGATAAGAACGTAAAATTTAGACTCATATCAATAACACATCCTTTTCTCAAAATAGAGGAAAAACTTTAGCTACTCTCACTTCGATTTGCATTGATTAATAGCAGTTTTCTTGCTAACATAAAAAAATACCTTGGATTCTCTGGTGTAACATATCGCAATATAGTGCTCAGCTTAGAAATGAGTGAGAAGTATGTTCGATGCTCATCCTTAGATAATAATCCTGCCTTTTTATCTGTGCGAAGAACATTACTACTAAACAAATTTGCCAGCATCAATACCGTGAAATGGATAACCACCTAGTTATGTTCAAACCTCTCTGGAAGAGAAAAGTATTCAACGTTTTTATGTACTCAAGAAGGTGTGTTATGAAGTGTTGTTCTTCCCCTTATTATTCTGTGATTCTTTCTCTATGATCTGCTATCTGCAAAAATTCTTCCGTTAATTATGAAGATGATCCCAACGTACGTATACTAATTTATATCTCTTCACATCGACCTAAAATTAATTTTTTTATCACTCATTAAATGTCAGTCTCTTGTTAACGATCTCACAATTAATCCTTCCAAATATTGAACTGTTAATTTTAGTTTGAGACCTGAACAACAGTTGAAATCCTTGCTTGAACCCTTATAAAGCTTGTACTTTTGGACAGTCTATAATTAAGTCATTGCAAAAGATCATTTATCTTGGCCTTCTCATATTTTATTGATAACAAAGAAAGTTGTTTGCTTGACTTGTCATACAAAGAGGCAACATATTTTTATCATTTCTTAGCACTGACGTTTACGACTGTGTAAATTCTTATATATTACCTACTGCTTTATACTATTTCCCATTAACAATTATGATGTTACGTAGATTGTAAAAAGGTAGCGGACAGGATGTTTGATGAATCTTTTTAAAGGTCATCATGAATATGGCCATGGATAGAGATTGAAAATCTTGCAAACATCTGCTAAGAGTTTCCTTATCAGTTTCTAACTATTCACTTCATTCACATCTTTCTGATTACAGAAGACGTCGATGCGTTAGAATTTATGCACTCAAACAATGGTATAAGAGCTGTTTATTACTTTATCTAGTAAATATATATTATAAACATGTTTCATAGCTAGTCTTGTCAAAATCTCATCTCATTCAATTCAAATTCCACTTAGTTTACTTACTTATTTCAGGCATAACTGTGTGCATTTATCGATCAATTTTTTCTGTTTTTCTGTCAAGAAACCTGTAGAAATACTTTTGTGCTAAGAATTCTATTTTGTGCTAAACATATATTATTGAATAAAATGACATTAATAATTATAATATCTTTTAATCAGTTCGGTTTCAAATTACTAGTCACTGATAATAATTTTTTCGTAATCTATAGTTTATTAAAATAACAGAAATTCTAAATTGTTTGTGATAACGAACTGAGAAACGTTGTGTTGTTTATCGTATTTTCAATATTGAATCTATCAAGCTCTGAATACATTTAAAAGTGAACAGTGTTCACTATTGAGGTTCATCAGCTGAGCAATAAAATGCTATTCACAAAAATATATATTAATCAACGATAATCACGTATTTTCTAAACAAGCCTATCCTTGTCATAACTCATCGGCCTAGTTGAAAATACTTTGACATTAAAACGAAGACTTATTCAACTGATTGGTCCATAGTAGTGTAGTGGTATACTTTTACGAAGAGAACACAATTGCTGAAATGGAAACATTTATTATTGTACTTAATTCTAACAATGATTGTTCTATTGTACTCCTTTTATTTATGTGTACTAAGGACCATAACTCGCACGCCAAGCGTGTTAATCCCATACCGCGTTTCTTCTCGGTGGTTGTTAGCTGCTGCTTTATTCCGGTCTTGATATCATTTCGATATCACGAGACCATGATTCAATACACCTCGTCATCCAATCATAGTCTTCCTTCTGATTTCTGGATTTAACGGGATTTTACTTGGGAATCTCGCGAATAGTAGTTTCAATCTCACAGTAGGATAAAAATTTTAAACAGAAAATATCTAGATTAAATTAAATTTGGATCTACTAGAAATTACTAAGCTTTGAGTAATTCTTCAACCACTGTCGATCCCAAGCTTGAATAAAGGAGGAGGGTTAGGAATGAGGTTAGTCATCGTATCTTTTAGAACCTTGCTAAAAACACTAACCAACTATAGTAAGCTATTAGAAATTTGTGGATCCCTGCTCAAGAACCCATTTTCCGAATAAAATATTACATAATACAATCTTGAATACTAACAACAGGAAACGACAAACCCCATATAGTACAAATGATAATAATACCATATTCATGATTTCCATCAGACTGAACATGTTTTGAATAAGATTAAACTTTCAAAAACTATCATGCAGGAAATTATTATTTGTATTTTAATTATGCAGTTGCTAATTTTTCGAAATATTGTATTTTTATATTTCCTCTGTTATCCATTGAAATCACGGATCAGTCATTGTTGGACCACTATCGGAAACCTGGAACCAGTGGACCACCACTTCGTCCTAGTATGGAATTCTTCAACAATTCACATCAACTACCCACATTCAGGTTCTTCTGGTTCCAGCAAGTACAGATCATATATGTGCACTGCTGAAGAGTCCCGTGCTAGGATGAAGTGTTCGCTCAGTGCTTCCAGGTTTCTTATGATGCTCTAAAAATGATTAATCCATAATTTTAATGGAAAAAAACAATCTTTATAACAAATTATTGATTTCTCTTTACTGTAATAGCTAAGTTGGCTAACAAAATTTTGTAACGTATTCCGCTTTCATCTTCAAGCTTATTATTTAGTTTCTTTCACTCATAAGATAATCTTACACATATTATAATTTTTTCTAATTTATATTGCTATGTGGTCAAGTATTCGAGACATATTGTTGTATGAGTATTCTAGTCACATATGTATCGACTACATCTTCAACCCTAAAAAGAGCTTGTGGACCGAAATTCGTTACGAATAAACTGTAGTTACTCATAATCACTAAGTCATTCATATACTGGGGTCATGGGTCCTGAAAACAGCCACACACTCAGTAAATTTGACAATTCAACTGTACCTATTATCAAAGAACAATCACACTGGCATGAATACATTAAAAGAAATTGTTATGTATGGATTCATCACGATATATATATATATATTTATAGTAGAGAATACATGGTAAGGTTGGCCGTTTACTTCAAAAGTCAATTTATCTAATTCTTCACAAAATAATCTAAAATACAAAAAAAAATCATAGTATAAATACTCATTCATTTGATTAGAAAGAATTTTTGTCCTGAAAATTAAAAAATACCCATTACATATGTAGATAGATAATATAAATAGATATATGCATGAAAACATTCAGATTCATTGTCGAAATGCTAACAAAATAAAAAGTCAGGATCATGTTTTGTTTGAAAATACTTAAAATATTAGGCACTATAAAAGAGAGGCAAAAAAGAACAATAATAGGGAAACATTTCTGTAAAAAAACAAAAGTATACATCTTTACCTAAATTATGAATATACATTATTGATTAGTTGCAGTTTTTTTTCTTCACAATCTTATTTGTAAACTTTGTGTATCATCTGCTCATAGAACAATATAAAGTTTGATCAATTTAAATTAACTGAATATTTAAAAAAAGACAAAAGAAAAAAACCACAGACAACTTCACATTGACATTTGATCTGTTCAATACTCAATTATATCAAAGTTTAGATACAATGCAATATACAATAGAAAACATTTTTTAAATAAAAAACAAACAAGCAAATAATGAAATTTAAAACACATGCTTCAGAATGATTATCTTCTTATTTTCCACTAAATACGAGGTATTCGTGACATAGTTGTCTTGTCTAATGTCCAATCATTGTATTGTGTATTGTACACATTGAATTGTTCCATGTTTGGTTGTGGTTGGTGTTGTTGTTGTTGTTGTGATTCATAGTCAATAAATGCATCAAAAGATTGATTAGGAAATAAATTGACATTTGGTTGTTGAACTATAACAGTTGGTTGCATTGTAATCGACGACACTTGATCGCATGTATCTTCTTCATTTGACACTTCATGATCATTATAATAATAAATACGATGATCATCTACATTGTCATCTGTGTCAGTAAATAATTTCGGTTGTGGTGACTGTTGATCATATCGACTGAATGTTGTGGTATTGTTGTAATCATGTTGTATACAATGCGGATATGGTGAAAATGTTTCTTGTCTATTATTACATGCTTGTGGAAATAACACACTACATTGACTAATCGATCGCATTTCTTCAGGACATCTTAAACTAATTGTTGCATCACCGGAGGGAATTTGTGATAAAGAATTTACTGAATTATATAATTGTTTTGTAAAATTACTTTCTTGAATTAATGAAAAATTTGATGGTGATGGTGGTGGCGGCTTTTTTTTATGCATTTGTATAGTGGAAGAAGCAGATTTTGGACTAGGCGGTATAGCAAATTGCAAAGTACCTGATTCTTGCCAATTAATTAATTTTCTACTAGGACTTGGTGATTTTATTTTTTTTGTATGAAATAATTTTAATTTTGCATATTTCGATAATGATTTATGTTGTGAATCAGGCATCATTTTTAAATTTGTTTTATTCGGTGATTCATTTGGTGGTTCATATAAAGTGTTGCGTTTTTTATGATAATATCCATTTTGTCCCATTGGGATGCCTGTATTATATGAATTGGAATATTTTGCCCAAGAAGATACAGCTGGTTCCATGACATCAACAGGATGTGTGCTAGACAATGGTAATTTTACTCGATGTTTACGTTTTAGAAAATGATGTAATGCCAAACACAGAAGAAATAATATCGGGATTATAATTACTAGTATTAAAGGAATAAGCCAGTATAAAGTCCATTCTTTCGAGGTGTGTACACTTTCAGTAATGGTTGAATTTGACAATTCTATGCTAGCATTTTGATTATCTGTTTGATATGTTTCAAAGATGGTTGTATTTAAAACAACTGAATCAGTTGATGTATTAGTTTGTGTTATATCAGTAGTATAAAATGTAGGACTAGTAGTCGTTGTAGTCAACAGTGTATTATTTGGTTCTGAAGTTGTACTTACTTCAGGTAAACATGGATCTGTCGGTAACCATATGAATGTACCATTCTGAGGATCTTTTTGACAGGATATATTACCAAAAGGACAAGCTAGTTCACATCCAATTACATATTCTGGAATAAATGTTCCATTGACTAAAACATTATTGCATACGATTTGTTCACATTGTTGTAGAATATCACAGGAAAGACATACTATAAAGTATAAAATAAACAATAAAGGCATTGCAATAAGTAGGTAGAAAGTGTTGTAGGTCATAAGCTATATTAAGTCAGTAATTAGAATAGACCTTAACTATTGTTACATAGTTGTATTGTCTTAGTACTGAATTTCCCAGTAGTATATACTTTTGACTCTACCAGAGATCGAAATCATGAACTTCAAATCTGAGAGCTAGTACCCAACTACTGCAGCAATCGTATACGCATCCGATGATGATTACTTCGTAAGTCAACCAGTTCATGAAAGGTGACCATTCAGTCCTATTTGTGACCACTGTTTCATTCTTAAAATGTTCACAATTCATTAGTTATGACCGACTGATACGTCTGAAACTCATCATGATAAAACCACTTTATTTGTAAAATATACTCAATGCTTGTTCCTATAACATTCATGCTTAATTATTGTTCACGAAATTTGAAACTGACTTCATGATATTAGTGAAATGTTATTCTGCTGTCACGAACAGAACGATCCAGAACAGCTGTTTCGATAAAACCTTAGAGAAGTATTTTTATGTTGAATTATTAAAATTATATGCGTTTATGGTTACAATCTAGCGTTTTCATGGTGAATAAATATATTTCATAAGTAAATATACTATAAACAGTCAGAATATACGGTTGAACTGAGTCGAAATTGAAATTCAATAAACTTTTGCAGGCTTAGAACGTGAAAATGTAAAAAGAAGGCAGTGTACATTTGAGTAACCATTTTCTAATACAATTAATTCTAATTGAAGTGAAGCATTCGAAAGCGATCAATAATAATAATAATAATAAAAATCGAAAGCTTGTCAATTTTTTGCCTGCTTTCAAAGATATGAGCGGTGTGTAGTTCATTTTCACTTCAAATTGAAATGGACTGAAAAAAATATTCTGGAGAATATTATGAACACCAAAATATTGATTGTGATACTATTAAGAATGGAAATGATCTTTAACCACATCTTATATCAGATACCTTCGATTTAAAGTAAGTCATAGAACACCAACTGTAATCAAAAACCATGAACAGTCTAATATTACGTAAATGGAGTAAATTACCAGTTAGTAAAATAATAGAAAAACTGTTTTAATCATCTTCATCATAATCAAAATGTTAACGATAAAGTCAGATATGCTTTATGAATAAAGAAGTACTATGTGCGTGTTTTGCAATGTCTAGTACCATAATGCTGTTTAAGTCCAATCCATCAATTCAAAATATGACCCTTGGTCTAAATAACTTGACGGTGTGCACTATTACAAGAAGTAAAGGGGTTGAATATAATCGATGGGAAACTTAGGGCTCAGATTTCAATGTGTTTAGCGCTTATCAGCAAGATGCACCCGTAAACTTTCATCTGAACGGAAAGCGCATGATGTCGGGCCATGTAGACAGATAGAATTTTTAATCAGCAGTATGTGACATTACTCACTACTCTGTGACGAAACAATTTTAAACAAATCGCAGTCTAAAAGAAGTTCAATTGTTGCCCTAGTCGCCCAGTGAAAACGTCTATGACTGTGAAGCTGGGTGATGCCAGATAGAATCGCGTATATAGTATTAGCTTCTTCAATGTTATAAGTGTACTTTGGTGTCAGGTGCCGAATGATACAAACCCACTGTTCACAGTTTTTGGTCTACTACTACCAACTACCTTATGGTTCGATGGTTTATCTAACACAGAACATACAAAAGGAATTCTTACATCTGATAAGAATGTTGGAAAATATTAGTCTTAACATATATCATAGTAGCACGATGAATGATGGTAATCACATGAAATTACCAGATTGTACTATCAAACTAATATTCATTACTGCTAGTAATTTCATAATGGTGATTGATTTCAATTCGAAAGTTACTCAGCTACACACGAATGTCATTTCCATACATGATGGACACAGATCTTAACAGACCTATTTAGTTTATCGACTTCATCATTCCAAAGTACAGAGGTTTCCACGAAATGATCATGCTTACAAATAGTTGTGTCATCAACATCTATACTGTTTTAGCAAATTTAATGTGAATGAATATATTGATTATCAGTTGTGAAAAATGAAAAAATATATACAGTAGAAAAGCTATCAGCAAAATGAACAATGTTGTCAAGTTCTCACAGAAATTAACTACAAAAATAATTAAAAGGTTCCTACTAAAACGAAGCAAATTGTAGATTAGTTATGTATGCTATTCATAAAAGATTAGCCTTAGTTTGGGCATTATTATTAGACTCTTCAGTACTGGACATGAATAATCGCACTAGGGATTGAAATTATAATTAATTATGTCTGTATGTCTGGTAAAATCAACTTTGTTCATAGATACATTTACATCAAAACGGTTTAAGTAGCAAAGGACGCACAATTTTATCACAGTAGAGTTGACAAGAAGAGGAAATCATTCATCTGGCAAAGAACCATTTAAATTTTTAACTAATCAAGATATAGACCAACGATGACATCTCAAATCAACTCATAATGTAAAATTATAGTGTTTCGTGTTCAATTGTCAAGCTTTTTAATTCAATGTTCTGAAGGGCTGGAATAACCCATATCGTTTATTTTAACACAAATAGAAAATAAACTAAACCTAAGTAATTTTGAATATTTCGATTGTAATAGAAACAATGTATTGGTGAACGATAACAAGTTCCACGCAAAATTTTGAAGCTTATCACTCCCGTTCATTATTCAATAATTCAAAGCAGCACATTGTTTATTCAACTAATTTAACAGCTATCATTTAAATAATAATAATTTTAAAACTTTATAAATAAGCATGATTAAGACTCATGACAAAAATCACCCTCTAAAAGCCAATTAGTTTATATATTACTTTTTAAAATTATCTTACAAAATAATAACAGCAAATGTAAATCAGAAAAGAGTTAGTGTCTGATAAAATCATATCTTAACTGCCTTTACTTTTAAAGTATGTAAATAGTTGAAAAAAATGTTAACTTAATTTTCTTGTGCAAAAAATGTGGTCACAATTTCAATCTAATGAAATATATTTTCAAAAGAGAGACAAAAAGGCCCTGGGCACATAAGCTCATGAGAAAAGAGAAAAAATGGATGCACAAGGGGCCATTGCAAACGATTTTGAGCCAAGTCATTCAAGGTCTCTAACCATTGGTTACGCGGACTGCGACCTGGTAGTCTGCATATACCAACATGACTCAGTCCACTTGTCAGTGACTACAAGGATTTGTGTCATGTTTTGGTTTAGCAACCCCTAACTTTCTTCCAGCCTACCCTTACATCACAACTCACTGCTCGTCGAGGCAGTCGGTGGTTGGGCATTCATAACACATGTCTCAATTACCTCAACTGATGAAGTCTCAATACTTCATCCATTGATTTGTCATCCTTACCAAGTACTCGTTTCCGAAAAAGCAGCATTACTTACTCGATAGTCCCAGGATTTATGAGCAATGCTTTGAAGACATCTATGATCGAAAACCAGGAACCTACGAATATCGTTAGTTCATATTAGCCGTGTTTTACACCCATAGAATGTGACGAAGTGAACTACTGCGCAGTAGACTTATCCTTTTGCTACCAGACGGATATCCCGCCCACGCCATAAGTGACACAAGTTTGCAAAAGCTATTCGAGCTTTCAGCATGCGTACTGAGATTTCTACACAGCAAACCATCAGCACTGATGAGACTCCCAAAAATAACTGAAGCGAGCAGCACGCTCAACTACTTCACTCCCTATCACTAATTCAGATTCTGATATGGGCGAATCCTGAAGCGATATTTCGCATTTCGAGGCGGAGAATGTCAACCTAATGATTTAAAATGTTAAGTTATCATTTTGGTAAATAGCGTTCCTACTTATAAATATATGTAATTAGTTATAAGACCATGATGGCTTATCAGTTAAATAAAAGATAAAAAATTGAAATATTATTATACATTTCGGACAACACTGTCATTATTCATACACTACAGTAAACAAAACTAAAAAATTGCTATGTTTAGTGGCACATTGAAATCATCAATCATCAATCAATCACTGCTAGACCGCTATTAGAAACCTGGAAGCACTAGAAGGCCGTTTCGTTCTGGTATAGGTCTCGTCAGCAGTGCACACCCACTACTCCTCCATCTCGCAGGATTCAAACCCGATACCTTCGGTCTTACGCACAAACGCCTAACCTCTGGACTATTGGGCTGGCATCTAACTGTGTAAAAATCTAACTCTGACCAATCTAGATACTTTGTGCCACCTCATGCATTTGTCTTTGGTAGCTACTACCTGCAACTCCGCCAGTAGAACCTTCGGGGCTACTGCCGGTCCCAAGCCCGGGTAAAGGAGGAGGGTTGGACATGGGGTTGGCGACCCCATTCCGTCAAAAACTAACTTGCCAAAAAAACGCTAACCAGAAAAAAGCTACTACCTGCATATGACAGGGTTAAACTCCACTGGTCACATCTTCTCAGTGGATTTTCGAGAATTCCCTCACGAAACTAGTCACTAGTGAGCATATTTACCGATTTTTTCAATTAGAGTTATAGAGATTAGCGTTTTTACACATCAAAATCATCAATCAATCACCGTTAGACCGTTATACAGCCGTTTTATCTTGTTAAGGGACTCCTCAGCACGATGGATGCCGGCGTTCGTGCGCAAGACCGAAGGTCCTCGGTTCGAACCATGTGAGGTGCAGGAGTCGTGGACGCGCACTGCTGACGAGTCGCATACCAGGACGAAACGGCCGTCCAGTGCTTCCAGGTTTTAAAATGGTGGTCCAACAATGACTGAGTGATGATTTCAATGTATAAAGACACTAATCTCCAGAACTCTCATTGAAAAAAATATTTTTAGATGATGTTATAAATGATGTTTTTGCTGTTATCTAAATATAGTGATTGTAATCGATCAAAGTTTATAATTTACCGGCAGTATATGGTAATATATACCCGTATGTTAACCCAGTAATATAGCCAGAGTAATATACATTAGTAGGATAA